TCCCTTTGACCACACTTGCATCTCTCTCCCAACAATCTATCTTTTATCCTTGGCTTTCCTAGCTTAGTTTCAATCTAGCTTAGTTTCAACAAGAATCTTTAAGTCATCTTCCACCCTTTATATCTAACCAAGTTACTCATCCCTCTCCTTTGATAGCTAAGTCGTAAGCCTTCCTTGAGGCGAGACTCCCTCTACTCATGATGTCTTTTCAGTAATTTTCCATACTGGCCCTTCACTGATTGGCTATAAATCCTCACTTGTGCTCCGTATATTTGGAGTTTAGCCTGATCTGTCTCCTACTGCAACAGTCCTGAATAAAAATAAACTACCAATCGTTTTAACCAAACGAAAGCAACATAGGACTAAGAAATACACATGCTTTCATTTACTCTTTCCCTCCTTTCCTTCCTTTGTTCTCTTCTCTATCTCCTGGCTCCCTTTCCCTCTTTCAATTCCTTGCCCTTTCTCATGTTAAATAAAATTTATGAGGCTGTTGGTTTTGACTTGAATCTTTCACTAGGCCCAGCAGATCAAACCAAAATGGAGTCACTAATGCTGAAGTCACACATTACCATGCAGAAACTAAGCTGTTTATCTGATTATACAGGCAATCAGAAGAGGTAATAGTCAAATCCCCACACAGGTCAGTTTTAACTGCTTCCTGCTTAGATCTTTACAAGGAAAAGAACTTTGAAATACTTCACTTTTTGTTGTTTCTGCTTTCTTCAGTCCCCTGTGTATGGAGCCAATCTCTTCTGCTCAGCTCATCAGAACACTCATTCTTTCTCTTTTTTGGTGGTTCTGGGATTTGAACTTGAGCCACTGCATTAGCCCTTTTATCTCTATCTCCTGGGTAGCTAGGATTACAGCCGTGAGCCACTAGCACCCAGCTTCATTTTTAGCATAGGTGTCACTCAATTCTAGAATAATGATTTTTTTTTTTTACATAGGTATGAGGCACTGAGGCACTGGGTTCTGTCCCCAGCATTGCAAAACATACACACACTAAAATATCATAAAACATTGCTTCATATTCCATTCACTCAACAAAGCTCAACCTGGACTACACTTTCTCATATCCATTCCTCAACTACCACTGGTTCCTTCCTGGGCTACAGGAACCAGTTTTCAAACTGCAGACCTCCAAAGGCTTCCTTCCCTTCACCATCTAAATAAAACCCACATTCCTGAGGCTGCCTATCCCTTTCATCTGGTTTCCTAACATTTCCGTCAGCCACTAATAGACCTGCCTCATTTACCTTTTACATAGGTTTGTTCCTATCTCTGGCCCTTGAATTTGCTGTTCCCCAACCAGAACTCTTCCTTGAATTTTCATTCAGCTACTTTCTCAACTTTGTCTTCAGAGTAAGTACTTACTCTTTCTACTGGAGTAACATTCCCAGAATGTTATTTCAATGACAGACATTGACCCTGTGACTCCAGCACTTAGTGCTTGGCACTTGGTATGTACAGAACATGTGCAGAATGAACAATCTTTACTAATGGCATTGTGTATGGTACACAAATAAAGCTGGTATGACCCAGAAGCATGACAAAGTATTTTGTTTCCCACCACCAAGGACTTTCTCCCCAAGGAATGGAGACAAACATCACTTAGAAAGGGAGACCCCAGAATGTCTCTGGAGTCATCTTGCTTTGCTCTGGCTGTCCACCCAAGGCAATCTGATTTCACTTATTGTGTGTCCTTCACATTATCAGCTGTTCAAATGGGGTTGCTAGGACATTGCCTTCTAAACTCACTTCTTTCTCATTAAGGAACACACTGGCATTCTAGTACTTGCCAGTGATACACTTTAGACTAACATATTGGCCAGGAAATGAAGGAGGAGAGTGGGTGGCATCTCCCAGGAAAAGCCATGAGGCAAGATTGAAACTTCAGTGCACCTAACTGAGCAAACTCTTCCTGACTTGATAGTGAATATAAACAAAAACAAAACCAAAAAAACCAAAAAACTTTCATTTACTTTGCTTAAATTGTATCACCTAGTATAATGTTTTATACTCCATTTAAGTATGAAATACCAGGCTGGAGTGTGGTTTAGCATGCCCAAGTCCCTGGGTTCAATCCCTAGTATCACCAAAATAATATAAAAAATCACTACCTGACTTGCTATTATCCAATAGGTTCATCACAGGAAATGAGGCACATCCCAACTTACTTGAAGAGAATTTAATAAAGGAGCTTTTTATGAAAGTTGAGCAGGGTGTAGAAGAATCATAATTGTTAGCATTAGACCATGGGACTAGGACGTGAAGAGGTAGTAGTTAGCAGAACTTGGAACAAAGGCTGTGTAGACACATAGCTTGGGTGTTTATTCCCATAGCTCCCTCTCTGCAAGCTTAACTAAGGCTGGTGGTGGCCCTCAAAGGCTTTATCAATTTATCAATGCAGGGACAGAACATGCTTCATTCCACAATGAGATTTCAATTAGCAAAACCAAGACTGGAATGTGCATATCAGGTTAATATCCAAGTACACTACTATGCCATTTCACATAAGGAACTTGAACATCTGCAGGTTTTGGTGTCTGTATTGCAGTTGTATTGGGAGTGGTCGTACTGCAAACAATCCTTTGTAGATATTGAAAGGTGGCTATATGCAATAACTCGATCACAATCATGACCCTAACTCCTAACCTCAGACCTCACAAATACATACATATAGTGAGGCCACAACACTAGGCTGGCTGCTGCTGATTCCTCACTCTCTGCCATGCTAGTGGTGAGCCATCTCCCTGGATCCTTCTAGCTTTTCTTAGGAATGCCTCTTGCCTGGCTCTCCGGGCATAACAGGCAGTTTCTTCTAGGCCACCATCAGGAACAGCTATAGAAGGCTACCTGCTTCCACTTGGGCACATACTCATCAGAGCATATGTACTCTAGTACTGGAACTGATCCCCCATGGACACCAAAGGACAAGTGTATACAACTTTTTAGGGATAAAAAAACACATCTTACTTTCAAATGGCTCAGGAAATCATGCACACGAGAAAAACAATTGAATGAGAAAATGATATATGGTTCTACTACATATACAACTCTCTCACGTGTGAAATTACGTTGGAACAGTTGAGTCTACTTTTTCAATCTTCTTTAACCTAATTGTTTTGGTGGTATTGGGGATTAAAGTCAGTGCCTCTTGCTTGTTAGACAGGTGTTCTACCACTTTAGCCACTCTGCCAGCCCTGTTTTGTGTTGGGTATTTTCGAGATAGGGTCTCTCGAACTATTTGCCTGGGGTTCACTTCAAACCATGATCCTCCTGATCTCTGCCTCCTGAGTAGCCAGGATTATAAGAGGGAGCCGCTGACACCTGGCTTAACCTTTAGAGAGCTTTAACAAGAGAAATTGAAATAAACAATGAACTTTTAATGCTTTAAAGTTAACTGAGTTACATCATAAAGTGTTAGAAATACCTGTAAAAATAGCTTTAAATATAAGGATGCAAGCAAGGTGATTAAACCGAAGTACAAATAATAGAGCTTCCTAATGTAAGCTTGAACACTTGATAGCACTTTGCTTTTATAAAATTCAAACAAACTACCCGAAGAAACAATCTAGGGCATGTGGTTCTAGATTTGAATGAGATCTCCAGGTCACATAAGGAACTAGCAATCCTGGTTTCTTTCAAAGAGTCAAAGGGGAGCCAATTACTGCATTACCACTTGGTATCTTCTGATTTTGGAACCAAAATCAATTCAAAGTGTAAGAAGTTGATCAGTTAAATGCTGCACTATGGGTCATCTGTGGGATTGTTGAAGGTCAGGCGTATCTAAAAACAGCTTCTTAGGCTCTAGAAGATGAATTACACACCTGTACTATCCTCCTTTCAGCAAACTGATCCATTTGCCATGTTAGAAACACAAACACAAACACATCTTACTGTAGATGTGGCCACTGATAGAAAAGGTTAAAGATTAGTACATAACTTGGTAATTATTACATCAGGTGCTAATGCAGAAATCTAAACATTTTGTCTTTAAATTGTGAACAGAAATTCTTGGTTTTGAAAAAATGCACTTATTGTACATTCACTCAACAGTATACTAATCCATCATTTGAAGCGAAATTCTGGAACTGGGGGTGGGACTTGAGGTAGAGTGCCTGCTTTAAGTGCACAAAACCCAGAGTTCAAGACCCAGTCCCACCAAAAATACTCTGGGAATAGAACCCAGGGCCTCCTCCCACATGCTAGCCAAGTGTTCTACCAACTAAACTATCCCTTCAGCCCTAGGTTATTTTCATAAGTGAACCAGAATTTAAGAAAACTACACTGTCCATATAGTAGGTTACATCACATCTGAAATACTTTTTAGTGATACTGGAATTTGAACTCAGGGCCTTATGCTTGGTAAGTAGAGGCTGTAACACTTGAGCCATACCCCTAAGCCAACATCACATCTGAAATTAGATGCAACAGAAATTGAAGTTGGGAAACAGTGGTCTCTGAAAGCAAGGTTAAGTAATGAAAATGTGATGCTGTTGAAGCATAAACTACCAAAGCTTATAGTGTCTCCCATGTGTGTACAGGATTAAGGAAAAAGGTTAAATTAAAGCTTCCTAGTTTATCTGAGAAGTAATTGTGTGGGAAAATACTCAAGCCACTACAAGACAAAAATGGGTTCATTTTATATGAAAACAAAAGATGTTTAAAAAAAAAAGACAATATATTTAAATTTTAACAGGATTTATTATTATACTTTTCCATCCTTATAGTCCATTGAGTTTTTATCCCTTTTATTTCATGGATGACAGTTAAGTGCTAAAGTTAACGATGTGCCCAAGATGAACTACCTATTATGTTGATCTCAAGTTCCTGTTTCTAAAGAAATGAAACAAGATCCTTTCTTCATACAGGACAGAGAAGGCGATTCTAATACAAATTACCAAGATTTTGGTACAAAGTGGGAATACACAATAAATTCAAAACAAGTCTTTGCCTTCAGTACGTATTTTATTGAGATAAAGCATAAAGTAGGTTAACAAAGTGAAAAAAAAAAAAAAAGATCCAAGATGAAAGGTGGTAATACAGGAGTGGGAACATAAATGCTAAAGGGACAGGCAGGACTCAAACTGGCCATAAAGGCACTGTGGTATTTTAATAAACACTATCAAGCAGAATGGGTACTCAAGATGTTCCTCACTTCTCTTGTGCTACCTGGTTAACACTCCACCCACCCACTGATCATTGTGCAGCCTGTTGGCTGATTCTCAGATTCTGTTCACTAGGTAGCAAGGAACTTAAGCATTTCAAATTAGCCAACTCCACGTTCTCAAGTAGGCCAATGTTTTAAGTATAGTGGTTTAGTGCATTCAATGCCTTGGGTCTAAATGTATGGAACAGGACTAGATTCTTAATACAGTGGCCTATGCCACTACTAGGAAATTCTATTACCCACTTATTGGGGCAGCTAACAATGTAGGCAAATGCCTCCTGCTATGTAACGTCACATTAACAGGAAGCCCAGCTGAGTATGTTGCATACTTTCAGAAAGCCAAATTTCATCCTACTATCATTAACCTCCCTCCTTAAAAGGCTATGGTTCAAAAGATTTTACATTCTTTCCCTGAAAGCTAAAAAACTTTGGTTAAAGAATTTTGGGGGAGAAAGGGGGGGAGTAGTACTGGGGTTTGAATTCAGGCCCTCCTGCATGCTAGGCAGGCACGATAAAGCCAACTCTTGAGAGCTATCATTTCTGTTCTTGTAAGAGGTAAAACAGTGAAATAGAGAACTACAGACACTTCATTTTTTCTTTTTAAATAAACTCTTTTCTTTAAAATGACAAAGAAAGAGACAGTACAGCTTCCAGCCACATCAATCTTATGGGACACTATATTTCTAAGGTTAGGTTTTTAAGACTTTTTTTTCTAAACAGAAGCCTATGAATTTTCTAAGGCTTTTCTCCAATTACCAAGTACTCCCAGTTACCTATGATGGGCACCTACCTAGATACTTCAGTCAATTATCAGCCCATGAATATCATGCCTAACTTTCAACACCTGACAGTGACAGCGCCAAGGCAGGCATTAAACCTGAGCCAATTCATCTACAACTTGACTTTAGACTAAAGTTAACAATTACTTAGAGGAAATAAGTATCCAAACAAAGGGATATAAGGTAATCCAGTTCTTGAACTGCAATCTCAACTATAATTAGGCTTACAGATGTTCAGATTAATTGCTAATCCAGTCATTCCCAGAAATCTGCAGTATTATAATCGTTTTCACAATATTCATTATACTTCACTGATTATCAAATACAAGATTTGCATTTACCTATTTCACCGTTTTTCCAAAGAAACAACCACACAAAAGTATAAAACTTACAAGGATGATCCAATTATCACAAAGCCCCATTAACTACAAAGGGGATTGATTGTTAGGAAGAATTTTAATCAGCATATGATTTTACTAAATAAATGGTCTGTTAAATGTAACGATCTCAGCAAAAAATGCAGTTATGTGTTTTCTGTTTGGAACATACTAAATATCTAATCAAAGAAAGGGAACTTCAATTTTAGGTAACATCAAAGACCACCAAACCATACTGACAACGCTAACCATTTCCAGAACGTGGGACAATTAGCTAAACAAGATCCCAAGCATTAGGAAGTACTTGTCAAAGAGTTCAATCAAACTGTATGCTTGAAGAGTTTCATTATTTGAAACCTATTTAATTTAGGCAAAAATCCTATTAACAGTCTGACCACAAAATACTTTTTATTTTTAACCCAACTTGTTAAAGGGGCAGATGAAGACTGGCAAATTTGATGAACAGCACAAATTATGTTATCCAAACTGAATAATTTATTGCTGGTCTGAGGCTTGCCTTGTTTTACACTGAAGTAAAAGTTACACTGTTTCCACAAACAGCAGATATCAACAAGTAAAGGGATTCAACAGTGACCTATTCAATAAGGCAATCATCTTGGTAGCAAACTTTTATTTAAATCTTACATAACTCAAGCTTTATAAAAAGCCAACATAATTGAAAATTGGGTTCTCCCTCTAAAGCCTGAAAGTATCCAAAGCTTGAAACAGTTAATTTAAAAATAAGCGAACAAATAAAACAACAAAACCCCCTGCAGCAGATCCTGCTGAAATACTTAAAAAAAAAAAAATCTAAAGGAGCTTAATCTTTACAAAAGTTATTTTAGCTCAAAAGCTATAAAATCAAAGTTATCTTAATTCTACAAAGAAGGGAGAGAGAGGGTCTTTGACTTCATGCCACCATTTTAGAACCTCATCTTTTTCATCAAATTTGGCCACAAATCAAATTTGTGTGCTCCTGTTTTCAGGAGATCCTCTCACAGAAGAGGCCAAGTACAAACACGTAAGAGTAACTGCCTAAGCAAGTAGGAAAAGTGTTCCATAATAGTGTGCAAAGAACACAGAGTTCTGGGTTAATCTCTGGAACTTGATCTGGACCTTGACCTTGAGCGAGATCTAGAACGGGATCTGGAAGTAGCTCTTTTTGGCGGAGGGGACACAGAACGAGCCTTTGAGGGTGGAACAGGTAGGGGTGAATGGGAGCGGGACTGGCTCCTTGATCTGGACTTTGACTTTATATCACCTTTTCCATTTTCTTTGGGGGACCGAGATTGAGACCGAGACCTGCTTCGAGATTTCTCGTACTCATCCTTAGATCTGCTTCGAGAGTGTGAGTGAGAGCCTCGATCAGACTTGGGCTTAGATTTGCTCTTTGATCTAGATTTCCTGCCTTTTGATCGAGACCGTGATCGACCTTTGCTCCTCGACCTGGACCTGGACAAGGAAAGACATCTCGTTCACAAATGTGTTTGTCAGAATACATGTGTACTCCACAAACAAGTACAACTGTATTTAGGAAAAAAGTCCCAATACCACATTATTTACCGGGAGCGACTTTTGGAGACACTTCGAGATCTACTGCGGCTACTCCTCCGACTCCTACTTCGTGACCTTCTTCTAGAGCGTGACCTATATAAGAAACACAATGAAACCTGAATTTAAACAAGAGCATGTTTAGGCTACTTAGCAAAAACAGGTAAGCCAAAAAAGGATGTACTTGCTTACTACAAAATTAAGCCCACTATCAAAACTGCAAAGTACTCAAAGTACTCTCCCACCCACTCCATGTCATTCAAGTTACCTGGATCTGCTTCCAGAATAAGATCGCCTATGGCTTGTTCGTGGCTTATCTTCAATAAGCCTGATATTTCTGCCATTTATTTCTGTACCATCCAGCTTATCCAAAGCACGCTTCATGTCAGAGTAGGAACGAAATTCAATTACCCCCTCATTTGTGCGTTCTTTGTGAGCATCTGCGTATGTTACTTCACCTGCTTGCCGCATGAAATCCTAAAAAGCAGTAACACTGGTCAGATCCAGAACCAAACATTAAATTTTGTCATTTAAATCTCAAATCACAGTATATACCTTTAAATCTTGCCAACTGCAACGACTAGAAAGATTTTCTACAATAAGTCTGTATTCTGTACGAACAGGTGGTCCATATTTGTCTCTGCCAGAGGTTCTCCGACTGCTGTAGCCACCTCCACCACCTTTATCACATGAAGGGAACAATTAGATGCTTTGTAATGAGAGAGGTGCATAATGTTTTTGAAAGTTAGTACAAACATATCAACTTTTATTTACTGGAGTAGGACTTTGCTATTATACTGCTATACCTTTGATACATTTGTGATTTGCCACAAATTAAATTAAGGGCAAGTCAAATAGACTAAATCCCACTAAACCTCTCCTGCAATCTGTTAGAGAGTGACTGCTCCTTTATTCAATTTACCTCGCTAAGTTTTATTTTACAGAACATTGTAAAATATAAAACTTAACTGATTACATGCATTTCTACATTTTTACAAAATGTTTACTAGTTACACTAAGTACTTACATCACAGTGAGGTTTTTGGTGGTGGTTGGGCCAACAAAACGCAGGTAACAGTCACCTAGTTCAGATTAACCAGTTTTGTCTAACCCTTGAATCCTCACCATCACCCTGCGTCTAATGGCAAAAGGCTGCTGTCCGTCATGGCTTTCCGGTAGGTCAGCCAAAGGGTCATAGGGCAAGGGTCACACAATGTATGGAAAAGCCAAGGCAATCAAGGAAAGGCAGTCATCTTAGCCTCAGTGACACAGCCTCAGCCTCGCCCATTGGTCATTCAAATTGAAAACATCAAGGACTTGTTAAAAGTTTGAATTCAACATGCAACAATTTCAACATCAAACATTTAACATATCCAAAATCCCCACCAACCTCCTCGCCAATAACATGCCCCAACTACTTCCAATACAGCAATAAAGCTTATTTAGATTTACTTTGTGGTACATATAACCACATTATTTAAAAATAGCGTATTTTGCCCCCCCCATAACTCCAAGACCTGTACTTCAAGCTCCCCCCGGCCCGTACCCGTACCACCGTCCACCTCCACCCATCCTGTCCAACTTCCACACTTCTAGCTAATGCACTGACCGGTAAGTAAGCAAGGGAATGTTAACAAATACAGTCGCCCCTCACTTGCAACGTTAGCAGACCCACGACAGTGCACACGAGGGGCAGCAGGAGCCACCCCCTCCCAACTTTGGCCAAAATCCAGAATCCAACAAAACACCCAGACCCAATCCACAGCGCTCCGGTGTGTCCCATGGCTGCCCCGGGCAGGCGTGAAGCAGCGGGGCCCGGACACACCCGGGTCAAACCACCCTCGGCCCCCGCGCCTGCCCGGCTGGGAAGGCCCCACCACCGCCCACCCTCGAGCCTGCGCCCGCCCCCCCGGTCCCAAGACGCGGAGGCGCGGGGGTGGGACTTTCACTGCGGCTTCCGTAGCTGTAGCCGTCGCGGTCCCCGGCGCGGGCCCCCCCCCCCCCCCCCCCCCCCCCCCCCCCCCCCCCCCCCCCGCCCCCCCCCCCCCCCCCCCCCCCCCCCCCCCCCCCCCCCCCCTCCCCCCCCCCCCCCCCCCCCCCCCGCCCCCCCCCCCCCCCCCCCCCCCCCCCCCCCCCCCCCCCCCCCCCCCCCCCCCCCCCCCCCCCCCCCCCCCCCCCCCCCCCCCCCCCCCCCCCCCCCCACCCCCCCCCCCCCCCCCCCCCCCCCCCCCCCCCCCCCCCCCCCCCCACCCCCCCCCCCCCCCCCCCCCCCCCCCCCCCCCCCCCCCCCCCCCCCCCCCCCCCCCCCCCCCCGCCCCCCCCCACCCCGCCCCCCCCCCCCCCCCCCCCCCCCCCCCCCCCCCCCCCCCCCCCCCCCCCCCCCCCCCCCCCCCCCCCCCCCCGCCCCCCCCCCCCCCCCCCCCCCCCCCCTCCCCCCCCCCCCCCCCCCCCCCCCCCCCCACCCCCCCCCCCCCCCCCCCCCCCCCCCCCCCCCCCCCCCCCCCCCCCCCGCCCCCCCCCCCCCCCCCCCCCCCCCCCCCCCCCCCCCCCCCCCCCCCCCCCCCCCCCCCCCCCCCCCCCCCCCCCCCCCCCCCCCCCCCCCCCCCCCCCCCCCCCCCCCCCCCCCCCCCCCCCCCCCCCCCCCCCCCCCCCCCCCCCCCCCCCCCCCCCCCCCCCCCCCCCCCCCCCCCCCCCCCCCCCCCCCCCCCCCCCCCCCCCCCCCCCCCCCCCCCCCCCCCCCCCCCCCCCCCCCCCCCCCCCCCCCCCCCCCCCCCCCCCCCCCCCCCCCCCCTCGGGGCCCCCCCCCCCCCCCCCCCCCCCCCCCCCCCCCCCCCCCCCCCCCCCCCCCCCCCCCCCCCCCCCCCCCCCCCCCCTCCCCCCCCCCCCCCCCCCCCCCCACCCCCCCCCTCCCCCCCCCCCCCCCCCACCTCCCCCCCCTCCCCCCCCCCCCCCCCCCCCCCCCCCCCCCCCCCACCCCCCCCCCCCCCCCCCCCCGCCCCCCCTCCCGCCCCCCCCCCCCCCCCTACCCCCCCCCCCCTCCACCCCCCCCCCCCCCCCCACACCCCCCCCCCCCCCCCCCCCCCCACCCCCCCCCCACCCCCCCTGGCCCCCCCCCCCCCCCCCCCCGCCCCCCCCCCCCCTCCCCCCCCCGCCCCCCCCCCCCCCCCCCCCCCCCCTCCCCCCCCCCCCCCCCCCCGCCCCCCCCCCCCGCCCACCCCCCCCCTCCCCCCCCCCCCCCCCCCCCCCCCCCCGCCCCCCCCCCCCCCCCGCCGCCCCCCCTCCCCCCCCCCCCCCCACCCTCCCCCCCCCGCCCCACCCCCCACCCCCCCCCCCCCCCCCGCCCCCCCCCCCCCCCCCCCCCCCCCCCCCCCCCCCTCCCCCCCCCCCCTCCCTTTCTCTTCTGTGGCTTGATTATTTTATTTAATATAATAATAATCCAGTTCCATTTATGTTGTGCAAAGGCCAGGGTTCTTTAATTTTTATGTATAAATAACATTTTCATTATATATACATAGAAACATTTTCTTATCCATTCATTATTGATGATCACTTAAGTGATTTCCCATTGTTTGGATATTGTGAATAGTACTGCAATGAACATGGGAGCATAGATGTCTCCAACATACTAATTTCATATTTTTGGTTATATATCAGTAGTAGGAGTACTGGATCATACAGTAGTCCTATTTTTTAGGACTCTCTATACTATTTCTAGAATGGCTGTAATAATTTATATTCTCACCAAAAGTGCACAAAGTTTCCTTTTCTTTATATCCTCACTAATTTTACTTTCTTTGGGTCTTTTTAATAGTGCCCTTCTAGGTGGGGCAAAGTAACATTCATTGTGTTTTCTGTTTGCTGGTGGTTAGTGGTGTGCCTATCAGCCATTACCTGTTTTGAGGAACGTCTATTTGGGATGTTACCCATTATTTAATTGGTTATTTTGTAATAATATTAATAGGAGAGAATCATATTAATAGCCCATATGAAGTATTAAATGTACAAGAGAATGAAATGAAGCCATCTACAGCAGATAACAGAAAGGGAATCAGTTTAAAGAACATTGCCATTATACAATTTACAGTGTCTAAAGAAGGAGTCTTCAAGATTCCCCTCTAGTGGCTACATGAGAAGCATTGTGCTATGTATGTGTTGATTTTGGTGAGATCCTCTAAGCTTCTAATCATAATATGGCTTTTTGGCATAAGAGAAGATACTAATTATGTTGATTTTGACTAAGCTAACCTTTTGTGAGAGGTGCCATTTCTCACAGTAAACTAATATATTGGCATTCTGGTATTAAAGTCAATTTTAAGACAAGTTCATTTTAGTGAATTTCAGTCAGTCTTTGGTCATATCTGGGATCTAACAAGAGCAAGTCTTATTCACAATCCAGTAAGGTTACCGAGTATCAAGTATCTCAGTCCAAGAGCACCTGACACAGTCATGTGCACACAACCACCAGGGAACCTTATAAACCAGGCAATTCCATCGGTTGTGGTAGGAACTCAGTACAGTGGAGCTTCAGATTCTCCATTTCTAACAAGCTCCAGGGATGGATTTTGCTGCAAATCTGTGAAACAATTTGGAATAACAGACATTATACAAGTGATTTCAAAGTAGAATCACTTGAACAAAGTTTAAATATCACACAATCTAGGACTCACTTCCACCCTCTGAACTTGAATCAACAAGGTGATGGCTGAAGTTTCAAAACGATAACCCTGAGATTCTGATGAACAACCAGATTCAAGATTCACTGTTTGTCTGTTCTAACAAACCTTCAAATTTCTACAAATGCCAAAAAGTAAATGTATTAAATGGTACCACTGCTAAGTATTTAAAGTACTGTTTTAGAATCTTTTCATAAGAATGGTTGTATGATTGACTGTTATTGAAAAATTGACTAGTGTTTATTCAAAATGATATTTTTTTCACTTGCATTTTGCTATTTCTTTTAATTTTAGGTGATTTTGAACCCTGTGGTATGGAAAGAGAAGAGACTAAAAGAAAAAAATGATAATATTTAATGTAACATAAATGAATAGTATATTGAAACAATATTGAATGTGAAATTATTATGCAACAGTGTATATTAATTACTAATTTTTAATTGGGAAACTTGATAGCAGAGGGTAAAAAATGGGTGGCAATTTCAAACTACAAATGTTTTTCTTGGCTAAAACACTGTATTTGTATCATTATTTTGGTCTGCTGGTTGGTTTGAATGTTTAAGTGGAGCATTTAGCCATACCCTACTATATTCTCTCATTTTACACCCAGTTAAGTTACTGGTATGCCATAGGACTTTCATAGGAATTTTTCTGGTTGATCGTATTTTTTTTTATTGTTGTGCTGGGTGGGGGTAAAATTGTAGCATTTGCAAAGGTTCTTACAATGTATCAAATATATCATACTTGTATTAACATATATATCTTTATTTTTCATAAGCAAATACTGCATTTTCTTATATTAGTAGGACTAAGATAATTTGTATAATGAATTTTACTAATGATGTGTGAACAAGAGGAAAAGGTAGTATAATCTTACAGGCTAATTACAAATTATGGTTCAATATTTTAAAGACAAACATTTCTTTTAGAATCTAAATTAAAAGAAGCCACATCAATTACACTTGAGAAGGGAATAATTAAACCTCAGAGTGATTGGTTATTTTTTCTAACTCTGTATTTTTTTAAATTTCAAGTAATATTTACTATATACTTAAATATAGTTATCAAAAGTAAGTATTAAATATGGTAGTACTTCACTTCTTCTGAATACCTAGTTTGGCAAAATATGCATTATCAATTTGCTATATAGTATATTTGTCAATGTAATATTTTTATATGTGAGCAATTTTCTTTTTAAGTAGCTTGTTTGATTAACAAACTTATATTCATTTATTTATGCCTGAAACTTCTCCTATCCAACCTTATCTATAAAACAACATATAAAGATTTCAAATCTTTCTTTCTACTCAAAATAATCATCAGACCTGCTACATAGAGTTCAAAAATGTTTGTGTAAGAAAGGCAAGCAAGCTTAGGTAGCTACTGGAAATGTAGAAAGGCAAAGTTCAGACAACAGACTCCTGTCATACAGCTTCATTCACAACATCCAAACTCGTCATTTTCTGAACTTGTCATGTTCAAAGTACTTTGATGCCATGAAAATGTGATTTTGCTGAAATTACAGTTTTTTTTGGTGTTTACAGCTCAGACTAGGACTTTTTAAAAGTATCCATTATTATATATTATTATGAAAAGGTGTCACTTCAAGAAGCTTTTGAAAATTGCTGGTAAACTTTGTTGCATTTATGATGAAATGATAGTTATAACAACTCATACAACTTCTACTGACAAGAAAATTGTTCACAAAAATTCCAAACTACAATGTCAGCTTCTTAAAAAATGTTTTTGTATCTAAGTCTGAAATATTGAGAGAGATGTTGCTTATAACATACTCAGAATAAAAGCATTCTTAATTTTTAAAATGACAAGACTTTTTAGTTAAACCATGTCACATTTTTGACAAGAGAAAAACTACTTATTTTGGCAGCTTGTGACTTAATGAAGCATTTAAGTATCAATCAGGCTTCAGTTAAATGGAAAATATGGCAAACCGTATCATTATTTAGTTATCAAATGCTGAAGAACTGTTAGAGTTTAACAATGTAAATAATACCTAGTAAATGTATCACTTCATTACTAAGTATCAGAAAATATTTTAATAGATCACTATATATGTCGCCTCTGTGTTTGCCATGGTATTCGAGTTAATTTTAGTGGTTACCATATTGCATTCAACGTTAATATGTGAACAAAATATTTAAAACAGAGGAAATCTTCTAGAAGGTTGGCTTTCCTGGACTTTCTTTACTTAGAACATATCCCACTGCTCTGATTGAGTTTATGATTAGTGAAATTTATAATCTCAAATTTTAAGGAAAATTCTTATACTTCCTATGCTCCATTCTAAATGGATTTTATGAA